TTCTTTGATAATGAAATAGTAGGAGGACGCTCCGCAGGCCAGTCGAGACTTCGATTGAAACAATCTACCTTAACTCGAGTCTCTGCCAGCCACATGCGGCCTAAGATCACACTGTATGACCCTAAGTCGGTAATGAGGAATGGTAGATAGGACTGTTGTCGAGCGTCGATAGTAAAATTAAGAAATGTATAATGAGTGATTGCTTTACCTCTTGCGCCATTGTAGCTTTTGACTTCAATAGGGAGATCAAGCGGTAAATAACGAGGTTTAAACATAGGAAATAGTAATGTAAGGAGTGTCTTGTCGATAAAAGCGAAACCGTTCGCTCCGGAGTCTATGAGAGATTGAGTTTGGAATGAATATCCATTCTTCGAAAGTGTGCAGGGTAGGCTCATAGAGTCACCTCCCATTAATTTTGTCAAATCGAGGAATCTCATGTCCCGGATCGCGCTTAGGAGGGAACTTCTACCTAAGCGTGTTGATTTAAACGTTGGTCTTCGGCATTGCGAGCGGACTCGACAGCTTCCGCTTGCACTTCTGGGTTCAAACCCTCCTCGGCGTCATGGAAATCTTCGCGGGAATCTTCATCCTCTCCAGTTTCTTCGATTTCGGCCATAGCGCTAAAGTTGCCTGTACGTGGGGTCGAACCACGGTTAGCTCCCGGCGAGGGAGATGTAGTACTACGATTGAAGTTGTTTCCTGGAGACGGAGTAGTGTTTGGTCTAAAGGTTCCTGTGTAGCCGTTTGGAGTGCGAGGGGGATTTTGGGAACGAGACTGAGGAGATGGGGTAGAGTTGTCATGTATACGGAAAGTGCCCTTAGGTGCGCTTTGTGTAAAAGTACTATCAGTGACTTTCTTGTTTGGAGTTTCTTTAATCTGTCTGTGACGGTTACGTTCTCGAATAGTAACTTCGAGTTCGTCAATCTCCGTAAGCTTGCTAACAAGGTCTTTGACAGTGGTACAATCTTTGATATGGAGGCCGATAGCTCGTCGGAGGAAATCGGATATTTTTCTTTCCAAATCGCGAAAGAGAGTCTTGTCATCGGTGATTTCCGCTTGTGTAGCAAGCAGTCGGAACTTTCGATACCATAATACAAAGTTACCTTTTTGGGCATTATTAGGCATAACCCAGTGTTCATACTCAGTTCGTGCATGATCGACTTCGGCAGGATTCTTATAAATTGCTGCGAGCTCATCGACCAATTGCAGTCCCGTCAAGAGGGGGACTTGGGTGTACAAAGAGTACAGATGTTGTTGAGCTTCTCCTTCCGTCTGATCTGCTACGTAAGATCGGCGTTGCGATTCCGAGACGAACGATGTCGCATATAGCTCTAATCGTTCTGTAACCAATAGCTGCCATAGACCTGCTTTTGGTTCCACACCATCTTTAAGTTTTGACGAGAGATTGGTGGGTTTCGGAATGTATGGTTTTTCTGTAAGGACAGTATCAGAACGAAAGTGGGGTGTTTGGTGGGGTAGCGAGTCGCGATTGGGTGCGACTGCCGGCGAGTGGGTACTCTTTTCTGAATGAGAGCGAGATCGTCCCGAGGTGCGTCCTCGAGAACGATTTTTCTTCTTTCCAGGCGTAGGAGCATCCTGCTCGACAGATCTCACAGGAACGTCAGGAGTCCGGACTCCGCTCTTCTTGAGAGAAGATGCGTGAGGTTGCTGAGAGATGGTATGAGACGGACTGGCGGTACTTTGAACATCATTAACTTGTGCTTGTAATCTAGCGACTTGCTCCCGTAAGAACTCGAGTGCCTGCGCTTGATCTGCGATCAATTGCATTTGGGCATCGATTTGAGCAGTGTCGTCTCGAGGTTGATGAACAGTTCCCCTTTCCTTGTCCTTTCCCTTCCTACCAAGGTTAACACCAGATCCAAAGACGACGTCGTTATCGCTTGCATAAGTCTGCTCTCGATCGGATTGAGCAGATGGGCCGACTGGGGACCGTTGTACGCCAGACGTTGATGCGAATGGATTGACACCGGGATCGGTAGGTGTAGACATAGTAGTGGTACTTGTAACTCGTGTATTCGTTGGTGAATTATCTTCGTCGAGGATTAGTCGGAATAGATCTTCTTCCTATAAGTGATATCGAATTCGTACGATTCACCCAAGAAGGTGTTAAGTTATAAGGTATTATTTGATCGGCCACCAGATGGCCGTACGGTCGTATAGTGAGTTGTAGATAATGTGACACTTTGCCTTAGAAGAACTGCGAGAGCAGGGTACAATTTATCCTTAGAATCTACAACTACAGAATCGAGAGCAAAGCGCTCATAGAGCGCTCCTATATACTAGCTATGTACACGTGATCGTGCACGTGCGCGTACGCGCACGTGAGCGATCGCATTGCGATTGAGTGCGATCCGTGACACCATCCATAGGTTTTGAATTGATAACTATAACATTGATATCCATCCAAAACAGGAATAATAGACTAAGGGACTGAAATGTCGCTAGATAATTATATATTGATATAATTATATTGAAACAGATATTCTTTGATATATTTCTCTAATTGCTTTTATAATTTAATTAAGACCCTATATTGGTTATTCAAATGCCTACATAAATATATAGACCATTGCATATACTAGCATTGCAAACAAATCAGTATATAAAATTCAATATTCATTCCTATTAAATGGGTCAATTCTTAGGGAATCAATTGTGCCATAATTCCTAAGTTATTTTGACCTTGTTACAATACTTTTAAGCTTTGTGTATATAGGTTTGATAAGATTGGGGTTAACCCATAAACGACATTTATGATACACAGACCACACATTATTTCCCTACACAAAAAAAACCCATAAACGACGTTTATGACGATAAATAGTGTTAGAATTTAGTTTTGTATATATTGATTATAATATATTAATTATAATATATAAATTATAATATATGATTAAAATATATAATCAAAGAAATAAATTTCTTTATATAATATTAAAAATAATTTATTAATATATAAGTTTAAATAAAATTCTTTCTAAAAGAAAAAAATTATATTGTTTTTGATTAATGATTTAAAATAATAAAAGTTTATTTTTCTTAGAAATAAATAATTCTAAAATCTTTTTTTGAATTTTTTTTTAAAATATAAGTAAAATAACGTAACGTATGGGGAACTCGGACATATGGGGAACTCGGACAGGTACCTTTACACCAAATTTTGTATGTAAAGGTACTTAGAGCGACTTTTTATATCTCTAGAAATACTAGAGATATAGTTTTGATATTTTGAAGTATGATATATTCAATATAAATATTTAATATAACAAAATTTTATAGAGATATAATTTTTTTTAATAAAGATATTAAAGTTTCTTTCAAATTTTCGTTTTTGCCTAACAAAAATTACTATGGGAATTTTTAGAATCGTATTAATTCAAGAACAATATTATTAAAAAGTGTTTTGTAACTTTAATACTATATTTTTATTAGATATTAAGCCTAATTATCAAAAAAAATTAAATTATCTTTGATATCCATAGAGATATAAAAAGTCGCTCTAAGTACCTTTACATACAAAATTTGGTGTAAAGGTACCTGTCCGAGTTCCCCATATGTCCGAGTTCCCCATACATTACGTTATTATATTTGAAAATGTTTTATTTAGAATAAATTATTATTATGTAGAATTAAAAAAATTTGTTTTTTTAAAAAAAAAATTATTTAATTTATATAAATATTATTTTAGAATAAAAAATAAAGATTTTAGATTTAATAAGAATAATAAAGCTAATATAATTTTATAAAATAAGTTTGTTATTATATATATTCTTTTAAGTAATCTGAAAAGAAATTAATTATAAATTTCTTCAAAATAAATAATTTCAAAATTCTATTTAAATAAAATTAAACAAATAAATTAAAAAAAAATCTTTTAAATTTTCTTTTCAAAATAATTTTTAATATTTTTTTAATATTTTTTATTATTATATAATTTCATAACATAATATATTTCAAATTATAAGAAAAAAATTAAATAATATATTATTATTAATAATTTATTTCTAAACAATAATAAAAAAATTATTTTCATAAAAATTATAAAAAATAATTTACTTTTAGTAATAAAAAGTTTTAGAGATTTATTAAAATAAATTTTTTTCTATATGGACGCAACAGCCCACTTTCTCACGGAAGTCTATTATCAATGATGTATTTCACTGTAGAATACATTATGAAGTGGTGCGAGAAGATCTCGACTCAGGACATCAAGTGAGTGTGCTCTAATGCTGCAGCCCAAAAAACTTAAGTTAACTTTTCCAGGTCTATACAGGTCAAACAAAGTGCGGTAGACGACTATAACGTCTATACCCAAGAGTTCATGGGGCGCACCGTATGGACAGGTAGTTGCAATTCCTGGTTCAAAAAAGGCAGAGGCGCTTCTCGAGTTACAGCGATGTATGCTGGAAGTGCAATTCACTATAAGCAGATGTTAGAACACTTCAGGGGAGAGGACTTCGATTATGAGTACCATTCGAAGAACCGATTTCGCTACATGGGGAATGGAATCACGATGTGGGAAGAGGAAGGGAAAAACCTAGCTTGGTACTTGCAGAAGTAGTACTAGGGTTCTGTACCCTGCAATCAAACCCCCCATATGATGTAGAGTGCTTTTCTCAGACTTATACCTCCATATGTAAATTAGAGACCTTCTGTTGGATCCCAATCTTATTTAACCCTTCAGAAGATGGCTATACAAATATATCCTTTTGAACTGCGATCCGCCGAGGTATTTCCAGGTGATGCACCCCACAATAGAAGCACGTCATTAACAACGGCAAATTCGACATACCAATGCATTTGGCCCTCCGATTGGCGAGTATACTTTTTCCGTCGGCAATCTGGCTTATTTCAAGAAGTTTGACCCGGAGCCCGAACGTATTCACTATATTTGCCGATCTATGGATACGTGGTTAACATCTTAAGGAAGTGACATTCCGTTTAAATTAGTAAATAAAACTACAAATACTTGAACCATGGAAAATTACATAAAGCAGAGGCTGGCCAGTAATGGTCGTTATTGGTACTCAACAATTCTCTTCCAATATCCTTCCGAACGACTCATTTCAGCTTTCAACTACCCTCAAAATGCGTGCCTCACTCACTTCCTTCATTACTCTATTGATAATTACGCTTGCTGAAGCATCTGTTACCTGCGTCAAGGTTGGTGTAACAGCCAAAGCCACATGGACCAATTCAGCTGGGCAGACTTGCACGTGGACGGGAAGAGTTGGAACCAACTTTGGAACCAACACAGTTAACGCTGGAGAGTAAGTTTTTTTGTCCCAAAGACTGTTCATATAAAGCATGCTGACCATTTTGAAAAGCTACAGCTGCAATGGAAGATGTGGAGCAGGTTGCACTGGAAGTGCCCTTGGCAATTACTAGTAAGTTGAAAGCTGGATTCAACGCAGTACCTTCAACAGAACTTGACATTGCTAACGAGAAAAACTTATAGCACACAAGACTGCTGGAACCATGACATATGCTCTTACTTCAACAATGCCTCAGGTGGTGCAAGGTATGATCTGTTATTTGTTCTTGTGCTTTATCAACAACTTACTAAACGATACATAGTGACGCTAATTGTGGTTCGGCATATACTGCGGCCGAAGATGACTATCTTCTTGGTGGAGTTGATGGATGTACTCAGACAAACCCCAGTAACTCAGCTGTTGTACCTACCACGAAACCTGTCTGTACTTGATGAGCGCACCATGTAAACTGTACAAGATGAATTTGGAAAGGGGTGATGGTTCGCTACGAAAAAAATAATAAATTCAAATTTGGTATCATATCAATAAATCCATTATTCTCCAACAGGCTACTAGGTCTCCAAGTAGATTCTGCAGCCTTGTACTTCCATCACCCTCTCATAATACAAGGGCCTGACATCCGAACGGGGTGTGATTCAGCTTTCCCCTTATTGTGGCTTTGGCTCTTCCTTTTGGCCACCCCCAAACATTCCTCCAACATATCCACCTGCACTCTTCGCACCGCTTGCCAAGCCAGACCCAGCACTCTGTGCGCCACCCAAAACTCCCTGTCCAGCACCCTTTGCATTATTGAGGATTGGATCGCTGATGGCTGATGTGGGACCGCCGTAGGAACCATCTTCATCTTTTCCATTTCGCTCCAGCCTGTTTATGCCCTCTTTCCCAGCCAAGTTTCCAATTGGAGCTAGCAGACCATTCTCTCCAAGTTGATTACCGACAAGATTGTGGACATCGTCTTGTATTTGGTCGATTTGTGATACGCCGGTGACTTTGGTCTTGTTGAGGGCATCTGTAACTATCATTAGCTAAAGGCCTCTAAGAGTATCGTAAAAGTCTAGGCCGACCAACCCTTTGTCGCATATGATGCCTTGTTGTCTCCTTTTCCGAACCATTTCAAATACTGGTCTTCAATCCATGGCATCCACTTCTCATATTGATCGTTGTATGCCTCCTTTACCCATTCCGTATACGTTTGCTTTTGTCTTTGATCCTCGGAAAGACTCTCGTAGAGCTGTTTCTTCTGTTCATCCGTATGCTCAGGAGCAGCAATACCTGTTGCGTTCTTCAAGGACTCCATAATATTATTCTAAAATGGAAGCGGGTGTGGCTCGTATGATTTGGGGTCTTGCGTAGCAGTGTTGAAACTGTGGTATGATTTGATAGAGGTAACAACAACAGATGGTGACAATGCGTTTTAAAATGGCGAAAATTATTGAAACTAATTCGGACTACTGTTCAATATATAATGAGGAAATCATCAAGAGTCCAAGGCTTCAATGACGTAGGTTGTCATATCCTGGTCGCCTTGTGATCCAGTGTTCGAAATCTTGTTTTGCCATTCAGGGATACAGGGTAATCAATCAACTCGTTAATCAAGATTCCATGGGAACCGCGACGAATCAATCTCCATGAAGGATACCCAAACCTAGGCGACAGCCACATGAAGAGGATATTTCTGGTTCGCAAATGAGATCTAGAACATCATGTGGATATGTAGCAGGGAAGACAAGAAGCATTTTGCACTAGCAAAAGCCACCACAGTTCCATCTTTAACGAACAAGCTAACCATCAAATCCTCACGGGAACCTTCGATATGACATTTCTCGTTTTTTAAACTGAAATCAAATGTTTGGATTTCTTGGTGTTGAAAAAAAAAAAGCATGTTAATTGCGCGTCTGCATGTGAGCCGAAGAAGTATCTCGAGTAGCTAGGTACTGGTGGGTTGACTCGTAGGTTAGAAAAAGCCCAGAAACAAACCCCATTGATTATGGATGGTTGTACATTGTATATCCGCCGACCCAAACGCCGTGAGGATAAGCCCGTGAACGCCTCGATATTTTCTCATTACCATCCACCTCTGAATCCTCTGCCCCTGCCTCTAAAGCCACCTCTTCCTCCACCGCGTCCTCCATACCCACCCCCTCTGCTGCCATATCCGCCATCACCATAACCTCCATCGTACCCTCTCGGCGCCGAATTATGATCCATGTCATCAGCACTAGGTCTTGATCTCTTCATCTCCTTCGGGAATGCGTCGTAAGTCTTCCTCATTTGCGCATAACCTAGGTGCATTTTTCCGTAAAAATGGTCCGCCAATCTTCGATCGTTATCCAGCCGACTCAAATAAGCTCCGCAGACATCACAAACTTGTAATTTTTGATGTCCTGAAGGCCCGCTGGTATCTGATAATGCCTTCAGCTCCTTTTCTTTCTCCGCCTTTGTCTGCATAGCCTGTCTTATACGGAAGAATTCTTCATAAGCGCGCGATACCTCCGCTTGTTCCCCCAGAATCTGAATTTCCAATAGACCCGACTCGATAGATTTCGATAGATCAGATATTTGTTTAAGAAGGGCGTTTGTTTGTCGAATTTCATCGGGTGTTTTCTCCAACCGTCGCTGTGCGACATCTATCCTTCTATTACATTCATCAATGTATTTCTGTAAGTCGCGCATATAATCGTATTCAAAACCCCATTTCTGTTTTTGAGGAGGTGCTGCGGTTTCGAACTCCGTCTTTAATGGCTCTGAATGGATCTTTGGACATGGTCCTAAATCTTGTTTCGTGTTTGTGAAAAGATCGTGGGGACAAGTACCGACGAGGAAAGAACGGCAGATCTTTGGATCTGTGATTGAAAGCTGTGCTGCGCGAGAGGATGCTCCAGCGCCCATAAGCTGCTCTGTCAAGAGGGTTGTATTAGTAAAATGATGAAATTTCATTGTTAAAAGACGAATTGAAATTGTATTCAACAGAGCGCAAACATTTGAAGAGTTGAGATGGGAATTATGACTTACCAAGGAGCTTTCTCTGTTCTGCAGCCATGTTTCGAGGTATATGATTGTATTTGTTGTGGTTTGACTTTTGGAGGTCAATAGAAAAAGGTAGAGACAAGACGAGGCAAGGCTCGGAGCGGCGGGCAAAACGGAACACGCCGTGATAAGGCTGCACATTCGAACTACCTCCTCAGATTCAAGAATTCCACGGGTGCTTGTACCTACCTATGTGATGACCCTTCACAACTCAATGAAGAGCTTCTTGACAATATGGCTTTGAATGCCATAAATCCAATGAATAAATTTTATCATATTTTCTTCCTTGTATTTAGTTTATTATCTACAGGAGTAATCGCATCCTCAGATTATCACGAGCAACTTCTTCTACGACCCCTTCATCCTTCATCGTTACTAGCTTCATTTAACTTCCAAAGCAATACAAGCCTCGAATCATTCGAACAACAGAATTTTCGCTATTTTCCAAGATCATTGGGGCAAATTCTTCAGTATGCCAATACACGAGAATTACATTTGAGGTTCAGCCTTGGTAGATGGGATGCTGAAAATTGGGGTGCAAGGCCATGGGGAGGTACAAGGGAGGGCGGAACAGGTGTAGAGCTTTGGGCTTGGGTAGAAGCAACCACTGATGAGGAGTACGATGCACTTTTTTGAGAAAGAAATTCAACTGACATTTTCTAGAGCTGATGGTCGCTGGTTAACCTTGACCAATGCGTTGTCTGGTCTTTTTTGTGCTTCTCTTAACTTCATCGATTCCACAAGAACAACGAGACCTGTCTTATCATTTCAACCAGTTAATGACCACTCAAATTCCACATTAGCAAACCTGCACTTACTGCATGGAACTTTGCCTCGAGAAGTTGTCTGCACAGAAAATCTGACGCCTTTCCTGAAACTCCTGCCCTGTAAAGGCAAGGCTGGTATTTCGAGCTTACTCGATGGACATAAGCTATTTGATGCTTCATGGCAGAGCATGTCGATTGATGTGCAACCTATATGCACAAGCGATTCAAGTGACTGCCAGCTTCAGATTACACAAACTATTGATATGGTATTAGATATCCAAAGATCCAGGCGCCCGAGAGGTTCGTAAATCGCTACCCAATATGATCAATGTGCTAAATTCAACCCAGACAATCCAATTCCACGGCCCGTACCATTTGAAGATTTGAAATGCGATACGTCCAAATCATACCATGCCGAGGACACTTGCTTCCCTCTAGATAACGCTGCTGAAGAGGAGGATTGGAGTTTATCACAAATTTTTGGGCATTCGATGAAAGGATCTTGTCCACTCGCCGATAATGTTGAAGACTCCGTTTGCATAAATGTTCCTCATGCCCGCAATGTCTTCACTTCTGGAGGAGCAGTTGAGCACAAAAATCCCTCTGGATACAGCCGATGTTTCCGAATACAACAAGACAGCGACTTTGAAATGGTATTACCTCGACAGGATATATACGAGAAAGCCCCATTGGAGCAACCCCAACTTTATGCCGAACGCTCATTCATTGGATATGGGCAGGAACGAGGTGGTGTACAGGCCATACTTACAAATCCTTCGCCAACAGATGCAGTTGATTTTGTATATATGGAGTCGCTCCCTTGGTTCATGAAGGTTTATCTCCACACTTTAAAGGCCGATACTAACGGCTTGTATGAAGATGTCATACAAGAGATGTTCTATCGTCCAGCCCTGGATCGCAAGAGAGGGACTCAATTGGAAGTGCGAATGCGTATTCCCGCGGATTCTACAGTTATTTTGACCTATGACTTTGAAAAGGCTATCCTTCGATATACAGAGTATCCTCCTGACGCGAATCGTGGGTTTGATGTTGCCCCGGCCGTTATCACCATTGGAAATGTTAGCATTCGGACCACGAGTCTTTTGCTTCCACTCCCAACACCGGATTTCAGCATGCCTTACAATGTCATCATTCTTACCAGTACTGTAATGGCATTGGCATTTGGAAGTGTTTTCAATCTTTTAGTCAGGAGGTTTGTTGCAGCCGATGAAGCTGAAAATTGGGACATCAAGGCTGTTAGGATGCGGGTTTTAATGGTTGTGCAAAAGATGCTGGCTCGGACAACAGGAGAAGCGAAGTTTGGCAAAGAAGAATAGGACATGATACCCACCACATAATAAAGATTTCTTTCTTTCTACTTGTTTCTTTCTGAGGAAAAGATTGCAAAGGAAAATCATCTTGAGTCTGCAGAATTTACAGCTATATTTATTAGGCCATTACTCGTATCCCGAAGATTCTCCGCTATGGCTAGACTTTCCTTCGTCAAAGTCAACACTTAACATGCAGGCCCTTTCATCATCAATTGTGCTTAATTCTCGAGCTTCTCGCCACTTATTATTATTCTTACTTCGACCACGCCACATAGACTCGAACTCGATTCACATCTCCTAGCCACT